CTAAGAAGCTTAAGAATTATGTAATAAAGACTGAAATGATCTTAACCATGTGAGACTTTAGAGGAGAAAGTTGGGAGAGAGGCCACTTTGGACTGGGATGCTCAGTACATGAAAATGGGATTTGAGCTATGTATGTAATGGGAGGTATAAACTGTGAGGTTGGTCATGCAGAAAACTATCAACATCAGATTTTTAGGCACTGGAAAATCAGCAGAAATATTATGAGAAGCCTAATTTGGATTGGAGAAAGATTGGAGGCAGAGTATGCAGTAAAGAATTATTAGAAAATATAGATTCAAAACTTTAGAAGTGCCTTAAATAGCTAGATCTCATTTAGGGAGAAGAGAAAACTGTGACCCAAAGAGGTAAAGATAATTGCCTAAGAACACAGTGTAAGGCTTTTACTTTTGTTTTCAATTTTTAATTTTATTTCCGGATCATAAATTTGTAATTTTGAACAAATTTTGTTATGCTTTAAATTGAATTTAAAAGAAAAACACTGAGTCAAGGGCAATTCTACCAACTATCAAAGTATATTTTGGGGCTAGAAACATTAAAGGGCATAGTTTTAATGGAACTGATAGGAAAAAAAGCCTCAAGACTTGGCTATGCAGTATGTTATTTGTCTGAGATATTAAAACATCCTTTTACATTTATGGAAAACAGTATGCTAATAAATAACTCCTAGCTCTATTGCATTATTTGACAACCAGTCCCATGTTATTTTCATTACATTAAATGGTAGCAGTAAACATGAAAATGATGTCTCATAATGCATTGATAAACTTTATCATTTTCTTGCTGAATTTATCACTAAGACAGCTCACATCATTTTCACATCATTTAGTAGATTCAACATGTTCTCAAGGCTACTGACATTTCTGTTGGTTTTGAGTGGCTTCTAATGTTTATTTGCACTTGAGTAGGGACTGAAAAATCTCATTAAAAGACAGTTGCTCATTTCCATTAAGGGGCCATGAAATACAGATGGTGATATTTTTTCATCTGAGTCCAAGGTGAACAAGAAGAAAGAATACTCATAGATCTGAAATACTGACCCATTTGCTCAAGAAATTCCCTGAGTGGTAATAACTTTTACCTGTTATTTCATTTGTTTTGAAATATGTGATAATTTCCAATGGCCAAAGATGACCAACAGAGAGTGATCTTAAACAAAGACCAGTTGCAATTTAACTTGCTGGAAAAGTATTCCAGAGTTTCTGCAATGTTGTAAAACTTCTTGGATATCATTTAAAGCATAAAATTGTATGAAATTTTATGTTTATGTGTTTATTCATTTATTCATATTTTTATCCAGTGACTGTTTATGGACTGCCTAAATAACTGTGATATAAGATAAAAAAAGTGAAAAATCAAAAAGAGAGATATATGGATAAAACGTTCATGGAAATAAAAATCCTGCTGCTCTAAGTGTTCATGGCTGGAGGCTTAGGGACTTCTTTCCTAAGCTCCTGTGAAATTATGAAAGCCCCTCAATTCTTTCACCAGGCATATGGAAGTGATCTGGAAGAATTCATGGACATTTGCAGTGTTGGTACACATCTAAGTGTTAAGTGCACTATTTGAAAGTATACTAGGAAAATGAAGACATTATCAAGGTCAATACTTAAGCTGCTAGCTCACAGTGATTTCTCTCTTTCTGCACATGTCATTGTAGTTAAGATCAAAAGTTTTGCAGTTTCTAGCCAAATTTGAAATTTGGGAGAAATGGTATAAAGATGGTTTGATGAAAATTTGGCCAACTTTGTTTAACTTGAAAATTAGTAACCTTGGACTGGAGTCAAAAAGATGTATGTGTGCATACATACATACATACAGAATTGTGGGGACTGAAGACTTGCAGTTTTTATGGAAATGTGGATGAATGTTCTGGGCCTACAAAGTGCACTAAGCCTCTACCTTCCGAGCAGCTTAATCCAAGAAAACTGTACCCCTAAATCTGTGTGTGTGTGTGTGTGTGTATGTGTACATGTTTGTGTGTGTGCACATGTGTGCATGCACTTTCCTTAGAGGCATGGTGAGTACTTCCCCTGAGTATCATTGATAAAGGGCTTTACAATATGCTCTGTCAGGTCTAATGCCTTAGGTTGATGACATTTCTGATTTAAATATGATTATTCTGAGAAGATTTTAGAATTTAGTTATGACAAGCTTATTCCTCTTTTCCTTCCTTCCTTCCTTCCTTCCTTCCTTCCTTCCTTCCTTCCTTCTTCTTTCTCTTTCTCTTTTTCTTTCCTTTCTTTCTTCCTTTTTCTTCTCCCCCCACCTTTTTCTTTTTTATTTACAAAACTTTGCCATAAGGGCATTATGAATGTAGGCAAAGGATATTGTCTAAAGATAAAGCAGGATTAAATTAGTTAAGAAAGACTGTGTAAAAATTAATTTAGTATTTTCTATTCAATTTCTACCTTATTATTATTCAGATATTTAATCCAGAAGTTGTTTGGGAACGTAAATTATCATTATTTTGGTACTTTACTGTATTTATTATGTAAAAACAGTCACCAAATGAAACTTTTAATGTACCAAAAATTATACAGAATATATGCATCACAGAAATTATTATTGAATATATTTATGGAAGTAATCATACTATGTACTATGTGCTATTAGGGCATACCCAAGGACAATCGGAAATTTCTGGACTGCTGTGAAGTACTTATCTTTTGTTTAAAAATCAAGATTTTTAGTTACTTTCAATACTTTTAAAAGGCTATACCCAATACATAGATAAATTAGATTTGAATACAAAGTGAGGAAAATTTTACCTCAAATTTTTCTTAGTACTTTGCCATTATTTTGAGAAATGAAAATCAAAAGACCATGTTTACTATTATAATAAAAATATTTATTATAAAAATGGTTACATCTCATTGTACATAGAAACAAAAACACAATTTATACATCAATAACTTAAGTGGGCCTGAACATTCAGTATCCAACTGCTAGAATCCTAAAGTTCTTCCACAGATTTTACAAATACCAATGTAGACTGTTTCTATTTCATAGAACTCCATTTACCCAGTTGATGTTATTGAGATATTAACATTTTTTTCTCTCGTATTTTAAAGATAGTTCACAGTGTTTGGGTTAATTAATCAACTCCTTTAAATCTTTGGTAAATACAAGTATTTATATGCAATGTTTAAATTTCAGTAAGTAAAAACTGAAAAGTCAAATAACCTATTGTAAATAGTTTTGTGTAATCGATAAATGCATGAGCCAGAGTCCCACCATCAAGAGAAGTTGCTATGCAGGACTTCTCATGATAAGTCTGACATCCACAACAAATTGTTTGAGGCCCTTTTGGCCACTACAAGAAACACCACAACTCTAGGCCACAAGAAAATTACACAAAAATGTTAAATTCAACATATACAAACAGTACCGATTATTTAACAATGCAGAAGATTCTATATTTTTCTCTAAATCCCGGTTTATACATCAATTTGAACAGGTGAGTTTATTACCTCATTAAAGCCTATTATCTCACAAGAGTGAGAGAACCATTTAAAGAAGCCATTGTGTTTTGAAAGACATCCATTCATCCTCTTGCCAGTAATTTATCTATGAAAATATAGATAATTTCTTGAAATAATTTGTAGGGAAAAAAGCAAGATGCCTGTCTTCTTTTTCCTTCCTTCCTCCCTTTCTTTCCTCCTTCCCTCCTTCTTCCTTCCTTCCTTCCTTCCTTCCTTCCTTCCTTCCTTCCTTCATTTTTCCATTCTTTTTGTGGGAGTTATATAGTAGACTGGCCTGTCAACCTACATATTGTATTTGAGCTCCACAAATTTCCATATGCATTACAACTTTCATTTATCAGCCCTCTCTCAATGATTCAAATGAAAGCATCCTGGCATGAAAACCTCTTACTCCCAGGCTATTTGTTAAAAATATCCCAAAAAGTATTTAAATTCTAATGTTCTCAAGCCATTTGAAAATTAGAAATTGTTTTTATAGACATAGTAATGCAGGAGTGTAGAGGATATAATTAAATATAACAAAAATATATCTTGTTAAGCCTAGAAAATGGATACCATCATTGGATTACCACCACTACAGGGTAGAGAACAGCCCCTGCTACCGAGTTAGGTTCTGAATGCATGATTTCTTTCCCTAACATTGGCTTTTCCAACCTACCATTTCATTTAAAAATAAAGCAAGGTGAGAGATATCGTTGTTATCACTTTGGCAATTCTCCTCCCCTGCTAATTGCCGACATCCTGAATTCAGTGCATATTTTAAAACTCACTCAAGACTAGGCAGGCACCTGGCAATATTGTGTTGTTCACTTATTACATGAAGTGTGAACAGGAAAGCAGCATAATGAAGACACTATATTTATCAGAAGAGGTTTTCTTCTGAGATTTTTACACGGGCCCAATGCCTTGGCTGCAACTTTGAATGAAATATCTTGATTCTTTCTTCCTCATTCAAATAACGTTCAAAGTAAATGTTATTTAGTCACCAGCTTACCCCCACTGCAGTGCATAGAAATGTGTGAGATGTACATTTACGCACACGTCTAATCTCATAGCCTAAACTACGCCCCAGCCCTTTGATGGCAGGGGAATACTGGCATATTGACATTCAGTGTGCAATAAATACCAGTGTCTTTTGCCATCAACCAGAGGCCTAAATATCAGTCTATTGAAACTGTTAGCTTATATCTTCACTTTACTCTACTCCCATTCTTGTTGATAAAGACATGGACATTTGAGGCTTTCTTCTGCTTCAGGATTTGATATAAGCTCATACGTTAGGCTACATTAAAAGAATAGAGACTGGCCATCTGTTAATGCCTACGTTACACTCTCCTGGGTCACGGAAATGGGTGTCGTTCCTCTTTGCACCACTGTTGTGATCAAGGGGTTGCTTTTGTTTGTTTTTGAGGAAACAGGAGTTCACACACAAACACTCAAGAAGCAGCACTGGCATAGGCCCACTTTGATCCCTTAGAGTGTCCTGAGTGTCCCTTTTCACAGAGCCATTTTCTCCTTTGCCAAGTTCCTTGGTTCCTTGCTTGGGATACACCAGTCATCAGCCTCAATGCTCATCTGATAATGTTTGAAGGCTGATTTGTTAAAGACGGGGAGTTTTTCTACAGACTCTGAAGATAAGGCCTGAAAGAAGACAAGGAAGAAAAATCAAACCAAAGAGGTTATTCATGGCATAATTTGTATTTGAAGTGATTATTCAAAATTATCATTCAAATATATCCCTTTGATTGATTCAGTAATAACACACCACAATCCATAGTATGCTAGGCGTGTATAAAAGAAAACTAAAAAAAGCAAATGTTATTTCTACCCTATAGGGGCTGAAACAGTATATATACAATTATAAATTGGGGAACAGAATTTGTATTCAATATTTACACATGCCCCTTGTTTGGATATTGCCGATGTGATAGAGCTGAATAGCAAAGCTCTTCTTTCTTTACAAAAACCTTTGTATCTGTGATAGAGCCCTAATCTGATACAATTAATTTATTAAAATCTGAGACTATAAATCTATGATCTCTTAATCTTTCCCAGTACTTTGAAGACTTTTGCTTATTTAAGAAATGAATACATTTACTATTTCAGGTAGTCAAAGTCCTCTTGGCAAATAATTCCCTTGCACAAAATGGGAGCCTGCAAGCTTAATGTTTTAGTCGCTAAAATCTGTAAATACGTGTTCAGTCAAAACAGTTGGAAAATGATTAACGAATAAGGGCAGTGACCTTAACAAATAAATTGAGGCTTTATCAGAAATAGAAAAAAACATGTACCAAGTTTTAAAGTTTAATCAGGAAATGCCAGACATCCCACTGACAGCTTGTGAGCAGTTAGTTTTTCCTTCCCTGGATTTCTAATAAGGTCAGCTTAACGTCTTCGGTAGGTTGATATCAGTTGTTTTCTAGGCTGGAACATTATTAGCATATACTCCCCACTATTCTCACAGATGCCAAAAGGTGTTGATTTTAAAAATTCACATGAGCATCTCCTCATTTGGAAGCTTGCATGCTTCTTGAGAAATAATTTTGCTTCACTTGAGGCAGGGAGCCTGGCCCCACTTCCAGTTTGGTAAGTTACCATAGTAAATTTTAAATTGTATATCTACACATACCAAACAGAAAATAAAATGACTTGTAGTCATCATTATTTGCATTAACTCAGCTTGGGGTATTTACTGTGGACCATGGAACTCGGGCCTGTAAAGGAGGCATTGTTTTCAGAACTATGATTATTTCTATTGCATTTAAAGGATACCTTTAAGTAGATGATGGCATCTGTTCCATATCCTGACAAAGAGTAGAGATTCAGATCTCCTTGAAAGTACTTGGCATAGAGACGAGAAATTGGCAAGCCGTAACCAAAACCAGCCTAGAGGGGAAAAATCAGTTATTGGCAAAGAAGTGTACCTGATCACTGAAATACAAAATGGAGGGAGGAGTTATCCTCCCCGAAACTGATGTTCTAGAACCTAGATAAATATTTTCTGCTTCCAGTCAGACACCTCCTGTAGAATTGTTTTACCATTTTCAGCTTGCTGTATCATTCTTCCTCAAACCCCCCATGCCCAATTTAACTAAACTGACTAACTTGACTAAACACGTCCTTGTAATCCTTGCTTTACATTTAGAACCGAGTGGCTGGGATGAACTTAGTCATTTAATTGGTCTTACCAAAGGAGCATTCCGGGAATTATCCATCACAGGCGTTGGCGCAGTGGAGTATGTGTAACTAAAGAGGCGGTCGATGATCCTCAGGGGAACACCACCTCCTCTGTCTGAAATCTTAAGCAAACAAACAAGTCACCAAAGCTATACATTAAAAACAATGTGCATTTATCTATAGAAAAGTATTTTTTCCTTCATTTAAAAATCACCTGGTATACATGACTTTGATCTGTTGCTAAAAGCAGAGAGCTTGATTGTTATGGACACATTTTTACTTGTCTCAAGAGAGACTCAAAAGAAACACAGAGAATGGTTACCTTAATTGTAAGGTCTTCTTTTCCCAAGACAACAATCACTTCAATTGGTGTAAGGGAAGGCCAGTTTTCCTGGTGTTCAACTGTTGCTCTCATTGCATTCTAAGGAAATCAAAACCATAAGGAATTCAATGGCAGAAGAATGAGAAACAATAAATAACTGTTTTTTATGTTTAAAATAAAAGCAGCACAGAGGGCAATTCAAAGTTCCTATTTTTTTTTAAGTTAGTAGTAAAACAGCTCTGTAAATAGCCATTTATGAATGTGTCATGCAGGATGTATAATGAAAAATATTCATTTACCATGTAATATAGCTCCTGGGAGTAATGTCTAATGGAAAAACAATTCTGCTAGCTGTCAACTTCTTATTTGTAAGCTTAATTTAAATGTAGAAATTGGTTTTTATAGTCCATTTCCTGGCTCTCTCTTTTTTGTCTTTCCATTACATTTTACATCCAAGCACCAAAGACTATTACATAACAAATGAACAGTGAATCATTGAACCAATTTATTGGCTTTTATAAAACTTGCTGGGAAAGGTTGTTACTATTTAAAAGGATAGTAAATAATTCTAAATTAAATTTCAATTTGCATTTGATTATCATCTTAACTTTTACCAATGATGGCAAAATAACTCTAGGAGTTGGACTATTCAATTTAAAAATAAATGAAATTAACGAAAAAAGCATCTTTTGGCCTTCAACAGAAGAAGAAACTCAAACAAGTTTTCAGACAAATGCATGAATCTCAGGCAGATAAAGTTTTCGTTTATTTCACCCATTTTCCTCTCTAACCTTTTTGTAGTACATTATCTGCTTTCTGGTTTGTATATAATAGCAAGTTCTAATCATTAGCTGAAGTAAAAGAAAATAAATCAGATGTTTGTAGTACAATCGATACCTCATTGCACTAACATTAGGATAAGGTAGGAAACAGTGAGTCTGAGAAAAGCTGTAACAGAATTAGAGGCAAATTTCACTTTTTTTAGGCTTCCTCCTCTTTCAGTCCAAGGGATTCTTGAAAAACATCACGGAGCTTTTTTTCGGTGTGAGCACAGTTTTAATTTGATGTTAGAACCCAGGACAGGATTTGATCCATGGTACCTGGCTACCCCAGACCGGTAACATTGTGAATCCTTTGCGAGCTTGTTAGAAATGCAAATTCTCAGATATACAGAATCGCAATATCTGGGGCTGAGTCTAAGAATCTGTGTTTTAACAAGGTTTCCAGATGATTCTAATGCATACTGAAGTTTGAGAAGCACTGAACCACAGTCTTGCTATTGAAAGTGTGGAATGTGGACCAGCAACATGACCTGTTGGCTTATTAAAAATTCTAAACCCCATAACAGTTCCACTGAATCAGAATTTGCATTTTTTTATCAGAAAATTTTTTTAATGTTTATTTTTGAGAGAGAGAGAGAGAGAGAGGGAGGGAGGGGCAGAGAGAGAGAGAGAGGGAGACACAGCATCTGAAGCAGGCTCCAGGCTCTGAGATGTCAGCACAGAGCCCAACGCAGGGCTCTGACTCAGGGCTCTGACTCATGAACCGTGAGATCATGACCTGAGCCCAAGGATGCTTAACCAACTGAGCTACCCAGGCGCCCCCAAAATTTTCATTTTTAACAAAACCCCAGGTGATTCATATGCATGTTAAAGCTGATCATGGAAGGAACTGCCTTCCCTGCCTTCTGAGTATATTCCAGACTCAGGTTGGAGCCCTGCCATGTCTGGATTTGGAGCTGGAGTGTCCTGTGGGGGTGGAGGTAACAAGGCCTCATTCACTGGAACATTTACCCAATGACCTTCCTTAACAAATGCATGAATGACTAGTGCTTTGTTGGACACCTGAGAAAATAATAAGAACAGGGAGCACTAAAGACATCGTGAATCATATTGTGCATTCTCAAGTACGTTTTAATGTTACAATGAACTGCATGTGCCCTTTCAAACATTAACTGGAGCTTCCTTCTGCTAGGAGTACTGAATCATGTTCGGGAGAAGGCAGTGATGCTCCCATTGAGTGGGAAATGATAAAGGAAATAAAAATGTAACCTGTGAATTAAAAAAAAAAAAACCCACAAAATTGAAATTATATTGTGAAGTGTCATACCTTGAATAGTTCAAAGAGCATATGATGAAGGTGAGAAGGTACATACACAATGTGAATTGGCTGGCCTGGAAATTTCCCTAGAAAAAATTTAAACTCATTTAAAATCAGCAAGCAAATAGTTCATTAAAACAAACTTCCATATCTATGCGAATTAACAGATACCCCTTATTCTCAAGATTAGAATACTCCCCATCTTTCTGTACTCCGAAATTCTCCCCAAGAAGCTTCCCTCTTAAACAGTAAACACAACTGGCTTATTTTCAAAATGCTATTACAGTTGCTGTCTTGTGCTCTATGATTAAGTTTTTGCATTTCTCTAACAATGTATACAGTCAGATGAAGTGTGTCACAAGGGTGATTATGAAATTAGATTATGTAGATTATTTGTTTCTGCTTTCATAACTTTTGTACTGGGAAATTTCAGTTAAAATTATATGCATTTTAAGAAAGAAGAAAAAAAATAAATATGTCCATAGCATAACATTGAAATTAATGTTAACTATAATTTTCAGATTTTATGGGAAACAGCATATCTGATTATTCTTGATCTTTATCACCCAAACATTAAATCTTACAGGCAAAATATGCTTACATTTCACCGAGAGGTTAAAGAAAACAGAGAAACAAAAACCTCATAATACTGTTTGAGAAGAAAAATAAAAGTATTATTCTCTGGTGTTCCAGGCCTTGGCAAAGTCTGAATCAGAAAACAGAAGGTCTGGCACAATTCCCTCTTTATTTGATCAAACAGTTCAAGCAGTTTATCTACAAGTATTATGCAACAGTGCTGTTAATGCTTAGAGGTATTTTTCAATCTTTATTTGTATTCCTATTTTTAATTCAGCAATTATATTTACATATCCCCAGTCCATAAGTTAGGGCACTTTTAATTCCAACAACTTAATTTTTACTGTTTTTCTTTAAGAAGCACCATGGGATAAGCTAAAAACAGAGCCTGACATTCATCATATTATCACTTCAAGGTGGGAAGACCCTGTCTTTTCAGGTGCCCCAGAGTTGAAGTCACTGAAGTATGCTTTGCTTCCAAAACAGTGGTGTATACTTATAGTGCAATTAAAATAATTTCATTTTTAATTTAAAAACATTTTTAAAAGAACATTTAACATGAGATCTACCTTCTTAAATATCTAAGCATACACATAGTATTGTTAACTGTAGGCATGGTGTTGTACAGCAGATCTTTAGAACTTACTAATCTTATGGAACTGAGATTTTACACCCATTAAATAGCAACTCCCCATTTCCCCCAGCCCCCAGCCTCTGACAACCACCATTCAACTCTCTGCCTCTCAGAGTTTGAATATTTTATATACCTCAGATAAGTGGAATCATACAGTATTTGGCCTTCTAGGACTAGCTTATTTCTTACAGTAAATTTAAAGTGTTTTTCCCCCCAATCTTATGAGTAACTTCTCCAGGAGGATACATCCACAACCAGTGGTTCCTCCTATTTCTGGCCTCCCCGACTCCTATATTCTGTAATAAGCTATCTTTTTGATCTAAGCTACTGGAACTTTGTGGCTACTCTAAATCTTAAATTATTTGTTTAAACCATTCTTCTGAATGTTTTATGGATATGCAAATGAATATGCTCAATTGGAACTTTCCAGTTGAGATAAAGAGAACCGTGGCTTCAAAAAAGAAGCATACAAATTCTAGACAAGTTCAGAAGGGAGAAAAGCAACACAGAAGTTGCTCTGTATTTACAAGAAGTAATCATACTAGGAGAGTAGTGAATTTTCTATAAATTAAAATATGTTTTATTTATAGCTTACCATTCACTTGTGTGAGTTTTAATTCTGGTGATGTTAAATAATACTGGTCACAAAGCATCTTTGAACATTCAAAGGCATCTGAAATAGAAGGTTTTTTTCATAATGATGAAATACACTTATGCCAAGTAAAATTTTCATGTACTCTTTTCATGTAATCTTTCATGTAGTTAGTTGTGTACTACCCTGTACCCTAAATATCTGAAATGTTCTTTAGAGTACGTGTTTATTTACCTGAAAAAATACCTTTTAAATATTTTATTGAAGAAAAAATTAAGGCAGTGGTTAAGTTATAGCTGTAGCAATAGGATTATGCCCACTTCGGAGATCAAATAAATATAGAAGAATATGGAGATTAGCCATTCATGTTTGGATTTTTATAATTTTATAAATGAATGTTTAAACCCCTGACTTTCCAAAGCAAATGACCTTCATGACAGTATTTATAAAATATAAATGGAACACTCTGAATACAAATTCATTCACAAAGTCACCTTAACTATAGACACGTCAATCATATAGCATGTATTTTTAATCAGACGAATACAGAAATCTAGAAATTACCTTGGACCACAGCTGCCACGTCACAGTTTGGATCAATGCTTCCAATGTGACTTGGGTTTCCTGTCTGTGAGTCACTAAATATAAGAACTGTTGACAAATAAGAACAGTTGTTATAAACATCAGGATAGTAATGATTAAAGCTACCGTTGTAAACGAATGTGAGCCCCCGAATAACAGAACATCTGGTTGGTGTCTAGCTTATATTCTACACCCATCTCCGTATGCCATGAACATGATGAACTAACTTACTGTGCTGGTTCATCAGCATCCGGGTAGAAATACGGTTCATATAAAATCGATCCAAGAAATACTGAAGATTTTGATTGGTGACTGGGTCAACTGTACAGGCATCTTTATATTCTATGATTCCTTGTGCCATTGTAGGAACCACATTGTGGTGTCTATTTCGAACTGTGATGAGAGTATCTACAAAACTAAGCCAAAACACATGAACAGTTAGTGAAAGTTCAAATAAGTTTCTTTCACTTATAGTCCTTAGATTATTTCAAAGAAAGCTAAAGCTTTTTGTAAGTACCCATCTAACAAACTCAAATGATAAAATGTTTGGATGAAGTTTTATTAAGGCTCTTGCTACAGATTCTTTGACTATGTAGAGGAAATAGTATCACAAACAGATTTATTTGGCTTCTAACTTACATGTAAACATACCAGCTTTCTAACTGGTGAATTCATTCTAAGAGTTCCTTATGCATTCTCTTTAAAAAATAATAATTAAAAAATAATTACTATGAAGGAGGATTCTAGAGTGCCATTGTGGAAAAAAACTTTTGAATTTTCTTGTCAGATTTATAAAAAGATTCTTCTTTCTTATTCTTATAGTCAGAAATTGTCAGTGACTCTGAAAAGAAGTGTCCAATCTCCCATGACAATGACATTTATTAATATTATGCAATACTAAATCCACCTGCAAATGCCATCATCAGACTAAATTTATAGTAAAAATAGAATTCCTTAAAAATAAAAAGTTCTCCGCACTTGTTCGTACTCAGCATCATTTTCAATGCTATCATTCTTTACCAATTTTAAAAAACCAACAAGCCCAAACTTGTCATTTGTAAAGGGGAGATTATTTGTCATTCAGAGTTGTAGTTCCTTTAATTTACGTCTAAAAAAAAATCTTAGGAGTATGTCTGGAAATAGCCAAAGTTTTAGACTTTTATTCGAATGCATAGAACTTACTCTGATAATGCTTTCTGGTCCTCTGGGCTTTTCTCATGGAATTCTACCAAATCCATCAGGCTCTGGATATACCTATAAAGTGACAGGTGTGCTTTAAGTTTCAAAATTGAGCAGTCAGATACAAGTGGCTAACTCATTTCAAAATGACTTTCAAAAAGAGAAAGAACTATATTTAAAATTAAAACTTTCGGGGCGCCTGGGTGGCTCAGTTGGTTAGGCGGCCGACTTTGGCTCAGGTCATGATCTCGCGGTCTGTGAGTTTGAGCCCCGTGTCGGGCTCTGTGCTGACAGCTCAGAGCCTGGAGCCTGTTTCGGATTCTGTCTCCCTCTCTCTGACCCTCCCCCATTCATGCTCTGTCTCTCTCTGTCTCAAAAATAAATAAACGTTAAAAAAAT